ATAGACCTTGAGAAAGCATACGATAGGGTTCCAAGGAAAGTTTTATGGTGGGTCCTGGAGAAGAAAAAGGTTCCATTAAAGTATGTAAAGGCAATCAAGGATATGTATGATGGGGTTACTACATGTGTAAAAGCTTGTAACGGATCATCAAGTTATTTTCCTATCACGGTAGGTGTACACCAAGGGTCGGCTCTAAGTCCTTACCTATTTGCCTTATTTATGGATGAACTAACAAAAGATATTCAAGAGGAAGTGCCATGGTGTATGCTTTTTGCAGACGATATTGTGCTTATTGATGAGAGCAAGGAGGGTGTTAATAGAAAACTTGAATTGTGGAGAAGCACATTGGAATCTAGAGGATTCACATTAAGTCGAAGCAAGACTAAGTATCTGAAGTGTGAGTTTTCTCTGGTACAAGATGAGGACCAAGAACCTGTGCATCTAAATGGTCAAGAGGTACCTAAAAAAAATGCTTTTAAATACTTGGGCTCCATTTTACAAAATGGTGGAGAGATTGATGAGGATGTAAATCACAGAATCAGAGCAGGGTGGATGAAATGGCGTAGTGCATCTGCATTTTTGTGTGACCGCAAAATTCCCCTGAAGTTAAAAGGAAAATTCTATAAAACGGCAGTACGACCGGCAATGCTATATGGAGCGGAATGCTGGCCAGCACATAGGCAACATGAGCATAAGATGGGAGTAGCAGAGATAAGGATGTTAAGGTGGATGTGTGGGTACACAAGGATGGATAAGATAAGAAATGAAGATATTCGACGAAAGGTCGGAGTAGTACCGGTAGCCGAGAAGATGAGAGAACATAGATTGAGGTGGTTTGGGCACGTGATGAGAAGACCCATGGATGCTCCTGTAAGAACAGAAGTTTGTTACCAAGAGCTAAACACAAAAAGAGGCAGAGGTAGGCCGAAGCTTACTTGGGGGAAAGTAGTAAAACAAGATTTAATGGAGTGGGATATAGATTGGCGGACAGTATGTCTTAGAAAGGAATGGAGAAAAGCTACAAGTATGGTGGAGGGTTAGACCCGCTGTTATTCCTATGTTCCAGATGGTCCTTTTTTAGTCCTTTTCCCCTTCATTTCCCCCACTTCTTCTTGTCCCTTTCTTTTTTTTACTTTTATTTATTTATATATACATATATTTTTATTTCATTTTATTTTATTTTATTATTTTATTTGTGTATTTTTATTTATTTATTTATTTATTTATTTATTTTTTATTTTTTATTTTTTATTTTTTTTTTACTTTTTTTCTACCGTTTTGTGTCTTTCATGTGGGTTCATCTACCACCGACCCCAATTAATTTGGGATAAAGATGTTGTTGATGTTGATGTTGATGTTGAAGATATGCATTAAACAATTCAGCTGTGTCAGAAATCAACATATAAGTGAACAACAATATATATAATCATGTTCTATTCATAATTTTCAACATTTAAACCAAGAACATATGATTTTATCCATTACCTAAGGCCTAAAAGATATATATCTCATATTCATTGGATTCACATGTGAATAAGCATAAGAGGTAATAATATTTGATACCTTGGCCCTTGTAATTTAGTGGAGACTTTTTCTTATCCATTGCTTATCTCTTTGGATTTTGAACCTTCTAGGTTCCACCTTGTGCATGTGAGAAGCTTTGGCTGAGGTTCCATTACTTCTTTGATTGATAATTCCATCATTGGGCCTAGGAAACCTTTTTCTTGATGATTCCTTTTTCTCTTGACCTTTTTGTCCATCATTTTGTGTAATTTTTTGAACATTGGAAAAGCTAAGAGGACTTTTTGGTACCCATCTCATCTTGGGTCCTTGAGCGTTAGGAATAACATTTATAGAAGTTTTGACAACCCAAACTAACTTATTTCTCATGTAAGAATTTCTTCTATGATAGCACAAATGAGAAATATGTCCTACTTTACCACAATAATTACATACAATGTGTTTGCAAGATAACTTGTTCTTTTCAAGCTCAACTTTCAAATTTTTGGCTTTCTTGCTATTATCATTATCCAATCTATTATTTCCACAATCATTTATAGGTTTTCCATGTACAAAAGTATCATTATTATTTTCATTTTCAAACATGGAATATGAGCATGTAAGATTATCAATTATGGAAAGTTTGGATGATAATTTCTCAACTTGATTATCAACATCAATGCAATTTTTAAGAATGGTTGAAGGTTCACAATTCAAGGATATGTCCTCTTCTTGAAAATCATATATATTTTTCAAAGATTCAATTTGATTTTCAATGAAGCAAATACTTTGTACAGAAGCCAAATTTCTATTTTTCAAGTTCAACAAGCTATCATTCAAATCATCATATGCACATTGCAAATTATCATGTTTAGGACTATAATCAAGGTTTGTATTATTTACCTCAACTTGAATATCATCATTGTCACAAAGAGGTTTTGAGCTTCTTTGATCACTTTTAATCTCTTCTTAAGTGCATTCATCATCTTTTTCTTCTTCCAATGGATTTTGCTCTTCTTGCTCTCTGTATGCATCTTTATGCACAAAATCATCATTGACAAGATAGATAGTAATAAGAGTATCTCATATATCTTTAGAATTCATGCAATGTTAAATCTTAGCATATGCATCATGATATACACTTTTTCTAAGCATTTGCATAGCCTCAAGATTGAAGACAAAACATCTTTTATTGAAATCATTCATGCATTCTTCTATTTTCAATGAAAAACCTTTATCTACAACATGCCACATATAAAGATGAATTGATTGAATAAAAACTTCCATTCTTTTTACCCAATATTCAAAATCCTCACCATCTAAGAATGGTGGTTTATCACATTCAAAGCCTTGCATTTTTTTTGTTTGATTTAAAATTAAATTATATTGGAAGCCCCAACAAGGATCTTTAACTCTAGGTGGTTAAATCTCTAACTGAGCACTAAGCTCTGATACCACTTGTTAGGAATGTGGCTTCCATACTCAAGAGGGGGGGTGAATTGAGTATTACAAGATTTTCGCAAAAGCCCCCTTCTAGTTTCTAAATAATCATTTCAAGTAAACTTTGATATGTTGAAAGCTAATCAATATATTCAGACAATCCATAATATATAATATATCACAATTATAGAATTTATACTAGCACATACAAGATATCAAAGAAGCAATTAAAGTGCTAGAAATAAAGAGTTTAGAGTTTAGAGAATTGCAAACTCAATATATCCTGGTTCGGTCACCACCACTTGTGACCTACGTCCAGACTGAAGTCGCTCGATCAACTCTTTCACTAATGGTCAAGCTTCACGGGTGCTTGACAAACCTTTACAATCTTCCAAGACTTCGAGTTCTTGGATACCTTTCAATTTCCAAGTATACGGGTATTTGGTAACCTTACAATTCACTCCAAATTTACTTAGGTATTTGACCACCTCTCAAACAATGGGTCTCACAACCCTTTCAACTCAAGAATACAAGGAAGAAAATATTTAGAAATTAATATACACTCTCAAAGTGTGGATATACAACTTGAAGTACTATGGATATATGGATATATGGATTTTCAAGATATGAGCTCAAATATGTTTGATCTTTGAAAGATATAAAAGAATATGCAAATGATAGTGTAGAAGCTCTCAAAGTATGCTTAATATGTGTAGAAATGATGTCCAATGTTTTTGAGTCATTGGGAATGCATATATAGTGTTTTCATTGAAAACTAGCCGTTGGAAAAATAACCGTTTATAACTGTTGGGATCTCATTTGAAAAACTAGCCGTTTTATAGCTGTTTATAGCCGTTGAGATAACTTTTGAAAAACTAGCCGTTTTATAGCTGTTTATAGCCGTTGGGATCATTTTTGAAAAACTAGCTGTTTTATAGCCGTTGGGATCTGTTTCCCAACTTGACAGCAACAACACTGTTTCGTATTTTGGCTATAATTTGAGTTATATATGTCGGCTTGATGTGATCTTGGTCTCGTTGAAAAGATAAAAGATAGATATACAACTTTTATGAAGAACACAAGATCCAAATCCATCATCTTAGATACGAAAAATTGTATGGAAGACAGCAGCGAAATTAAGCAACAAATTTTAAGTTCAAATGTGTTCTACCTTGCTTCAAACTATTTTTTGAGAAAGATCTTAACTTGATAAATATGTTTTGAAGTTATAAAATATGTCAAGGATCTTTTCCATGGATTTTTCAAATTTCTTTCAAGTTTATAAAGTTTATGATTATGCAATTTGAAAAACACGTTTAACTTGAGAAAAATTTTGAGCTCATGCAATGCAATCTATCATATACCCTCACATATATTCTAAGTCCTAGAGATATATTCTAAATATGATTTTAGACTTAGCCTCATGTCTTGTGTCTTGGATCTTTACCTGAACTTGGAGTTTTGATTTGTTGAATATGACAATACTTGACACTTTGTTGGTTTTGATCATTTGTCACCATGGTTATGGTATTGAGCTTCTCTTAGATGTTGTTCATGGTTAGTTGTCTTTGATCTTGATGTTGCTTTTCTAATTATTCCTGGTTGCTCTTGATCCAATGATCTTGCCACTTTGATATGACATCACTCTTCTTGTGCGGCTACATCATATATCTTTAATATCCACATATGGTTGATGCTTTTTGCTCTTGATCAATACTCTTATCTTTTTATTGTTGCCACTTTGTTATCATCAAAACATACCTTGTATCTACAATACTGTCCTTTTAAATCTTATAAATTCTATTAAAATCCTTTAAAATTCAATCTTATGAAATCTTAATTGTAAGAAAAGTCTTTAAAATTCCTCCCATTCTAAATAATCTTTTAAAATTTATAAAAAAATTTATCTAAAATTTTTATTTTTAAAATCCTAATCCAATGGTGCCCTTATTCAAATTATAAAAGAGAATTTGGCAAATTTTTAGACACAACAGCATATTAATATACAAAATACAAAACCACCCAAATTGTTTGTGGTCTAATCGAATCGAAAGTGTCAAAGTGCATACCTAACAAGTGAGAGTAGCATAGCAGCAAGAAGACCCTCTTGAATTGCATACAATTTTTTTTTGAATCGATGGCGACGAGTGTGGTGAGTTCCGCTGGTGGTATGCTAGCGATGCTGAACGAGTCGCATATGTCACTGAAGCTCCATGCTCTCTCTAACCTCAACAACTTGGTTCACATCTTCTGGCCCGAAATCTCAACCAGTGTCCCCCTCATGTCAGTAATATCTTCTTTCTTCATCTTTAGGGTTTCCCTTAATGGGTTTTGGTCAAAATCATATTTTTATTAGTTTCTTTTGTTAATTTCGTGTTTTGATATTATACGTGGTGAACAGAGAGAGTTTGTATGAAGACGAGGAGTTTGATCATCATCAAAGGAAACTTGCAGCACTTCTTGTATCAAAGGTATTGTTCAGTTAACTGATAAGCTGGAATTTTGCTATTGAAAATTTGTGTGGTGTCGTCTTTGCTTAATGAAGCCATTTCCTTTAAATAGCTTGGTTGTTAACTTAGTGTCAAATTAACTTATAAGAAGAAAGAATGAATGAAAGTATAGGAAATTGTTCACTAGTTTGCAATATTTGAGATCTCAACTAGTTTGGGATAAAGGTGTTGATGATGTTGATATTTGCAATATTTGAGATGCAGGAAATATGTATCAGTTTTACACCTTTTAATTTTTATCAGCATTGTATCTGAGGGGCAGATGTTTTCTCACTTCCATACAGTTTTTAATTTTTAGATACTGAAGTTGGTATGATGCTTTGTTTTTTAGATCTAATGTCTTAACTTTTGATCTTCAGGTCTTTTATTACTTGGGTGAACTTAATGACTCATTGTCTTATGCCCTTGGAGCTGGTCCTCTATTTGATGTTTCAGACGATTCTGACTATGTGCATACCATTCTTGGTAAGAGTTATGATACAGTTTAATTTAATTGCATAATGCTATTTGATCAAGGTGTGGTATCAAGACCTTGCTAAGGGCATCACTTTGCTCACTATGAAAATAGGATTTAGTGTGATCATTTTGGTTCAATTGTTGTTAGTGTTTGATTTCTTTCATCTTAATAAACTGAAATTGGTATTATTATTATTATTATTATTATTATTGTTATAAATTGATTTTGAGTTTCTGTAAAATCATGATAAGTTCTCAAGGACATTTTTTTTTTTTTTATCATCAGCTAAAGCTATAGATGAATATGCTAGTTTTAAGTCTAAGGCAGCTGAGTCAAGTGATGAATCTCTCAAGGTGGATTCTAGGTTGGAAGCAATTGTGGAGAGAATGTTGGATAAGTATGTAAACCTTAATCATTCTTATGGTCGGTCTGGTATTAAAATTTACCTTGTTTCTTATGGTTTCCTCACTTTTTGTTGCCTTTTCCTCATTTAGGTGCATTGTGGATGGAAAATACCAGCAAGCGATGGGAACTGCCATTGAATGCAGGAGATTGGATAAACTAGAGGAAGCAATCACAAGGAGTGACAACGTTCTAGGAACTCTATCATATTGCATTTATGTTTCTCATTCCTTTGTGAACCTAAGAGAATACAGGCAGGAGGTAAGGACATTAGAGATTTACTTCTTGTATTTAAGGACATATAGGAAATATTTCTTTATGTTTCACAACTCTTTAAATTTGGCTATGGTATGACCATGCAGCTGCTTTATGAAAACTGTGGGTTAGGAATTTAAGATGAAGTAATAATTATATATCCGTAATACATTGTTGTTAAATAGCTGCCATGGCATAAAGCAGTTGCAGATGTCCAGAAAACAGCCTTTGAAATCCTATGTATTGCTAGAGCTAAAATGGCAGAGGTGGGTACTCTTGTTGAGCTTGAGGGGTATTTTGGAGTTTCAAGTAACTATGATTTGAAAAAATTCAAAGAAACAGAGTGAGCGTGACAGAGAGTTAAACCAGCAAATAGAGAAAAGTCACCAGAGACAGTGAGAGGCCACAGGAGACCTGGAGAAGTAAATGCTGGCTGTATCCTAGGTCCTTGAACCATTTTTGAGTTTCTAGATTTAGTGGTTTTGGTAGAAGAGACTAGGTTGTTATGTGTAGTCTATGCTACAATTTGGTGTAGGTGCATTTGGTTGGAGCATGCATGTAGAGGTTTCTTTGCTCAGCGGCTGATTTGGTATAATATTAGGAGATTTGGCTTCTGTTTGGTGTTTATGATGTGGTCTTTTTAAGGGGATTTCCCAAGTAGATATGCAGAGGGATTGAGCGGCTTTGGTCTAGTGATGTTTCTTTTTCTTTGTTGTTTTATTTTTCCAATGGAAGATCTCTTATGCTCCAAATTCCTTGTGATTTTCCTCTGCTTGTTGTAATGAATTCCTTCTTCTATATAAAACTGTGGAGATGTTCTTGGTGTTCAGTTTGTGTCTGTTATGCTTTTTATAAAACCACTACCCGTTAAACCCGACTAGCGAGTGTGGGGTGGAGGTAATCCTTGTACGCAGCTTTACCCTTGCATAATTGCAAAAAGACTGTTTCCTGGATTCTAACCCATGACCTTTGGGTCATGAAAGAACAGCTTTACTACTGCTCCGGTTCGCCCCCTTCTGTTATGCTTTTTATATAGAAGTTTATTCTTAATGCATTTTGCATAGTGTTTTTATTAGTTGTGGAGCTTGAATTTTCTTAGATAATACTTTATAGTTATATGGTTTGGAAGCATGACATGTTTGAGGTACTTGCACGTACAGTGTAGGAATCAATGAAATTTTTTCTGGCAACTTGTTGGCATGTGGCATGACTTGTACTTTATAAATGCCAAAAAGACTTTTTCAACTATGATATTTTATTTTCTTGGATTGATCATTGGTCTTTCCATCCAGGTTCTCCGTCTACTTGTTAAAGTATTTCAAAAGCTGCCTTCGCCAGATTATATGAGCATTTGTCAGTGTCTTATGTTCTTGGATGAGCCAGATGGTGTTGCAAGCATCTTAGAAAAGCTTTTACGTTCTGAAGACAAGGATGATGCTCTTTTGGCATTTCAAATAGCATTTGATTTGGTGGAGAATGAGCACCAAGCTTTTCTTCTAAATGTTAGAGATCACCTTTCGTTACCAAAATCCCAACCTGCAGAATCTGCACAGCCAAAACAAAGTGACCCAAGTTCTGCTCCAGATGCTAACATTGGTGGACCTGATGATGTTCAAATGACAGATGGCGATTCTGCAACTATTGTCAATGTTCATGTTGATCCAAGTGAAATCGTGTATGCTGAGAGGTTAAACAAAATAAAGGGAATTTTGTCTGGGGAAACTTCAATACAGTTGACTCTGCAGTTCCTATACAGTCATAACAAGTGAGGCAATTTCTTTAGTCATGTTTTGTTAATTCATCATTTCCTTGTTGACTTAGTCTCCTTGAGGTATTACGTTGGTTCTTATACTGCTTGGATGTAATTTGCATTCAGATCTGACCTCCTTATTCTAAAGACAATAAAGCAGTCTGTGGAGATGAGAAACAGTGTCTGCCACAGTGCTACAATATATGCTAATGCAATAATGCATGCAGGAACAACTGTGGATACTTTCCTAAGGGAAAATCTGGTCAGTTGTAATAATTGTTTGTTCGTGTCCTTTATGTAATATTTTACTTTTTGGTCACCCTTAGTTTTTAATTGCTTAAAATTCTTAAAAGGTTTTGTTCCATTGGAAATTCTAGGATTGGTTGAGCAGAGCGACTAATTGGGCCAAATTTAGTGCAACAGCTGGTCTTGGTGTTATCCATAGAGGCCATTTGCAGCAGGGAAGGTCACTGATGGCACCTTACTTGCCTCAGGGTGGGACAGGTGGTGGTGGTAGTCCATTCTCAGAAGGTGGTGCTCTCTATGCCCTTGGTCTTATTCATGCTAACCATGGAGAGGGCATCAAACAATTTATTCGGGATAGCCTGCGCAGTACTACTGTTGAGGTGCTCATAAATAATGATAGTGCTGTGCTCTTTCTTATAAAAGATTTAGTTGAATGTTATATTTACTGCAGGGTTTATGGTGCAGGTTATTCAACATGGTGCATGTTTAGGCCTTGGATTGGCAGCACTAGGAACTGCTGATGAGGATATTTATGAAGAAATAAAGAATGTTCTCTACACTGATAGTGCTGTTGCTGGTGAAGCTGCTGGTATCAGTATGGGCTTACTCATGGTTGGAACAGCTAGTGATAAGGCAAATGAGATGCTCACTTATGCACATGAGACACAGCATGAAAAAATAATTAGGTGAATGTGTTTCACTTGTCTGTTTGTTAAACCATCATTTCTCTTTGGCTACATGCTTATGTGTTTGTTTAACATTCCAGGGGGTTGGCATTGGGAATAGCTCTTACAGTTTATGGAAGAGAAGAAGAAGCAGACGCTTTGATTGAGCAGATGACTCGGGATCAGGATCCAATATTGCGTTATGGTGGCATGTATGCATTGGCCTTGGCTTATAGTGGAACAGCTAACAATAAGGCCATTCGCCAGTTACTACACTTTGCTGTGTCTGATGTGAGTGATGATGTCAGGAGGACTGCTGTTCTTGCATTAGGTTTTGTATTGTACTCTGATCCAGAGCAGGTTAGTACTGCCTTTTGCTTTTTTATTTTCCTTGTTGATTGAATATTTTCTTCCTGTCTTTGCAAATCACATTCATGTTTTTTTTTTCCCTTGGTGATTTTGTTGAAACACTTGCAGACCCCACGTATTGTTTCCCTCCTATCAGAGTCTTATAATCCACATGTACGATATGGAGCAGCTTTTGCTGTGGGTATTTCCTGTGCTGGTACTGGTCTGAGTGAGGCTATATCTTTGCTGGAGCCTTTGACATCAGACGTTGTTGATTTTGTTCGTCAAGGTGCCCTCATTGCAATGTCAATGGTGATGGTTCAGATCAGTGAAGCTAGTGATGCACGAGTTGGAACATTTAGGTAATGTATTCCTATGTTTTTGACATTGAGGAAATATATATTTTATTTTCTGACAGTCTCTTATTCTAGGCGACAACTGGAAAAAATTATTTTCGACAAGCACGAGGATACCATGAGCAAGATGGGAGCAATTTTAGCATCTGGAATCCTTGATGCTGGTGGAAGAAATGTGACCATAAGACTACTTTCTAAGACAAAACATGATAAAATTACAGCAGTGGTTGGTCTTGCAGTTTTCAGCCAGTTTTGGTATTGGTACCCTCTGATATATTTTATAAGCTTGTCATTTTCACCCACAGCTTTGATTGGTCTGAACTATGAATTGAAGTCTCCAAAATTTGAATTCTTATCACATGCAAAGCCTTCACTTTTTGAATACCCTAAGCCTACATCTGTTGCCACCACTACATCAGCTGTGAAACTTCCCACTGCTATTCTCTCAACATCAGCTAAGGCTAAGGCTAGGGCTAAGAAAGCTGAAGAACAGAAGGCTAATGCTGAAATTTCATCTGGGGCTGACTCTTCATCAGTTGGCCCTAGTGCCGAGAAAGGAAAGTCCTCCAGTGAGAAGGATGGGGACACCATGCAGGTAATGCATATTCTGTTTGTTTTATTAACGAATGAAGGCTTTGTTTAGATCTTTCGGATGCCATGTAGTTGAATGTTACTTAAGAGGTCTAGATGGAATTTGGGAGAAGAGTGGGATTGAAAATTTGTCTTCGAGTTGCTTACTACTGTGCAATGTGTCACTGTCATTTATCTCAGCTTCTATGTGTATGTTCCTTGTTTCCTTCGTCACCGCCCCCTGCCTCCATCTATGCTCCTTTTTTTGTTTTCATCCTCAATTCTGCATTGTGTTTACCAACCAAACATGCTAAGTTTCTGTTTATATGTGGTTTCTGATGGTTGAAGAAGTTTTCATAAATAACACTTTGATGGTTGAGACATTTTAATGACCAATGCAGAGTTGTGAGAAACATGGCTTGTTACATGTATGGTATTATATATTGTATTTGTATACTTAAATAGCATTTTGAAGTGTTTTCTGATATTGTTTCGAAGGTGGATGTTCATCCAGAGAAGAAATCGGAGCCTGAGTCTTCTTTTGAGATTCTGACAAATCCAGCAAGAGTGGTTCCTGCACAGGAGAAGTATATTAAATTTTTGCAGGAAAGCAGATACGTTCCAGTTAAGTCAGCAACTTCAGGATTTGTGCTTCTTAAAGACTTGCGCCCTACTGAGCCTGAAGTACTCTCCCTCACTGATACACCCATATCAGCAGCTGGTGTATCAGCAGCAGCACCACAAAGTTCTGCATCAGTGATGGCTGTGGATGAAGAACCTCAACCTCCTCAGCCATTTGAGTACATCTCATAAGTTTGGCCCTCATTTAGCAAAGTTCAAATATTCATGGTGCTCAGAAGTTTGTTCCTCCCACACAAGAGCAGCTACATTGAATGGTTTGAGTTATTACTGCTCCAACATGCACTTTGGAAGTTCCTGGACGTGGAAACTTTTTCATAGTGCACACTGTTTTATATTCTTTGCTCCATTATGTGATTGATCCGTGAAGTGGATCTTATGTTATATATTCATTTTCAAAGAGATGGGGATTAGAAGGAGGATGCGGCCAATTTGAAGAATTTGATGTGTCAGTGTATTCCTTTTGTATTCCAAACGAGGCCAGGGATTCTGTTTATAGTGTATGAGCAACTGTTTTCTTTCTTTCTTTCTCCTTTTTATTATTTTTATTATTACTGTTTTTTGAGAGACATTCATTATACTGAGGTAGTCCAATAAAAGTTGGAATTGAATTTGATTTGTTAGAATATATGAAAACTATCTCTCAATATTATTATTATTATTTTAAAATATGTTAAAGGATCTTAGATGATTTCATAAAATTGATTATTATATTCTATGATTTATTTATTTTATTTAATCAGGATTTAAAATCTAATATTAACATAAATAGGGGTTAGTATTTTTATAAGAAGTGTCATCCTCTCATGTACTTGTTCCTCATAATCCTAGTACCTAACTTCGAAAATCTTAATCTCTAATTTCTTTTTCTCTTAACTATTTGAAACTTTCAAACTGTATTTGGTAAATTCACAGAAGTTTAAGTTCATGTTATATATAATTGTTGGTCATGAATATCCGCGGATGTTCATTGTAGCCATGTCTCTTCCATTGTTTATGTAAGATTCTAACTAACTCTTAAAAATAACATGATTTATGTTCCATTTTAGATTAACCTTAGGACACTACCCTCCATTCTGGATTGCCCTCTTAAAATAAAGCCTTCCCCCTTATCTAAATTTCAAGAAGAAGAATTGTTGTCTCCGAGAGAAATAAAGGGCTAATTCCCTTTTATTAGCCCTCTTTTTCTACTTCAGATAAACTTATCTCAAGCGGTTTGAGAAATATTTTTTTCATATATATATATATAGTCTTCACTAAAAAGAACTTTTAAATAATTGATGTAGAATCAAAATTACTTTAAGCCCGTTCTAGAATTTGCATTTGGGTCATTAATCAAAAAAAGAAGAAAAGAATATGCATTTGGTTAAAATAATCTTCAGATTATCCTAAGGAGTAAGGGATGATACACATGGTAAGCGAGCTATGTCCAAGAAGCAAACTGTTGGGCTAAAAAATCTCTGGTTCGAATTCAAGTGAAGTAACTTGGAGCAAAAACGAATGTTAAAATTAGCGTTCAAACACGAATATTTAGCCTATAAAGTACCTTTAGAGTTTGATTTTTAATATTTATAACTAGTTCTAGAAGACAGTATCCGATATTGTTTCTTTTTTATAAACTCCGCAAGTAGTATAATTAACAATTCATCCCCCAAAAAAATAAAAAATAAAATAATTCATTAACTAAAAGAAATAAATGATTCATGTATCAAATAAATAAATAAATAAATGATTAATTGGAACAATGAGTCTCTCCAACATTAATTAACAACTCGATCGTGAATATATCTCAAACAAAACAAAAAAAGTAAAACAAAATAAAAGAAACCAATGGTTATGGACCAGCTTTTTATTTAGCACTCAGGGGATTCAACATCATCTTTAGAAAACTCCAAAGCTGTTTATCCAGAAATGAAAGCTCCAAAGGTCGAAAGCCATCCTTCATCATCAATGAAATCCAAACTTGCCATCTTATTAATTGTTGATAAATCCTTCTTAGTCCAACTCACTCTCTTGGACGTGTCAGCACCAGGCCCAAAATTCTTATACTCAGCAAACGTTACGCGATCCCTGCAATTTTGTATATCAAAACATTAATACCCTAGCAGAGAAAATAAAAGAAACCCCAATAGGAAAAATTTAAAAAGACATACGTTTTAATAGGAGAGGTTATATTGATAAGTTTTTTCTTACAAACTTACAAATTACACTAAGTCTGACCAGTCATATAACAATGTCTGACTGGTCAGACTTGGTTAATATAACAAACTCCAAGTTTAATATATTTCTATGCTTTTACAATTTAAGCGTTTCTAGTAGAAACTTTTACGTTAAGTTCTATAAAACTAGCATTACTTTATGTTGAGCATGAATTAAAGTTGTGCCCTGATTGATCCACAACTATTTTGGAATAAGGGAGGATTTTTTTCCAACTTTTCTGTAAATCTGAGCAGTAGCTAGATCTACTTTCAACCCCACCAAGAGAAAGAGACAAGCAAAGAAACACCAACGAAGATTCATCATGATGGATCAAAGAAAAAAGATTAGGTCTTGTGTGGAGTGCTTCAAGAAGAAAAAGGAATAGCCCTCACACAAGCCCTGACAAGGCACAACTTTTTTGCATTTGATTGAAACCTGCAAAGATTAATCCGTATTTAAAGAGAAATTTCCATATGGTGTGGAGGGAAAAAATAAAATAAAATCAAAGGTATATAAAAGGAAAATGCGTAATTACAGCAGAAAGGGAGCCATATAAGGAAACGAATCTTTAATCATGGTATCATAATTAATTCTTAAAAATAATACAAATTTTGTGACATGTGATTACTTTATTCTAATTTGCTTCCACCTTGTGTCGATATATTCTTTATGCCAATGATGAGTTCCTAAAGCAAAATTAAGGGCAATAGGAAAGTAATTAAAAAGTCGCAACGTGGGAGAATTAATGTGATGTTAGGTGATATTCATATCATTGACTTTAAAATTTGAGAAAATAAAATTCAGATTTAATATTTGACTTTGAATTTCACCTGAAAAATAGAGATTAAAGATCACTTGCAAATGGGCCAAAGAGCAACAGACATTAAGATACATTGTCAAAAGTAGTAATCTAAAGACTACAAGTGATAACTGAATTTTGGTTAATAAAAAATAATATAAATATGTATGAATATTGACAGTGAATCGCAAGCTAACTTTCTTGTATAAGTTTAATTTGTTCTTCTGTTTATACAATAATTGCTTTATTTCCACAATTCAGCAGGAAGAAAAGAAAGAGAGAAGTGTTTCATTTCAGCAATTTTCCGTTTTTTTTTTTGTATAAATCCGTTTTTTTTTATCTCATTGGAAATGATTTCAATATTTTATTTTATTGGTTCTCAGAGTGATCGAATTATTATAAATTACTAGTTCTCAGAGTTGGTGGCATTAAGGGTGTGGCACATATAGATTTCAACGCTTGGACGACACGTCAAAAGGCCACTAAAAACAAAGACCTTACACAAGAGGAAGTTTTGGGTAATGCTCCAATGAGTAATTGGAAAAAGAAGTCTCTAACTTCAACTAAACAACTCATCAATGGATATCACAAAGAAAAAGAGCAAAAGAACTTATTAAATAAAAATAAATGAGTAATTGGAATATAAGAGTCTCCAATGACCAAGTCATCAATGAATCACAACTAAAAGAGATAAACAAATTACTAAATGAAAGAAATCAGTGGTTATGAACACAAACTACCGTGGTTCTTCTCATGCTATTTCAGCTTAAGATACTCTTAATTTTCTTTTTTATTTATTCGGAACCCTACCAATAATTCTTAATCTGTCAACCCATCCTTCAGTGTCAATGAATTTCAAACTTGCTAACTCCTTAACTGTTGATAAACCCAACTTCTTAGTCCAATTCACTCGCTTGGATGTATTAGCACCAGGTCCAAAATTGTCATACTCAGCAAACGTTATGCGATCCCTGCGATTTTTTATATCAAAAAATGAATCCCCTGGCAGAGAAATTAAAAGACATACAAAAGAAAAAAAAAAACAAAACAAAACGTTGACGCGTTGTGTTCTTAAAGAAAAAAAAAATTATTGAAAATAATGTCAAATATTTTCAAATAAAGATGTATTAAAGTGTTTTTTTTTCTTTTAGGTATGATCAATTTCATTTGTAACGTAAAAAAGGGAGTCAATCCTCTCATTTGTTATTTAATATTATCATGTGATATGAGAGTATGCTACAAGTGAATCAACAGTGATAAGGGATGTGAGAGAAAATATATATGAATAGGCAGTTACAAAAATTTTCACATTTGATTTGTTCTTTGATGATTAGGATTCTTCTACATGAAGTGATAATGTTAAATGATACAGGATCCATTTCCATAAAACACCTCTACTTTTTTTTTTCTAAAAAAAGGAAGAAATTAACTTTTCTGTATTACCCTGGGATCTATTTTACAATAAAAGGATAGAGGGAAAACATTTTGTCATTTTAAAAAATCTAAATTAAGTCATTTTATCTCCTTATAACTATATATTCTGGGAAATACGTTATAATATTAAAGTTGTACTTTTTTCTGAAGAGTGAGAAAAAATACAACTTCAACATTATAACTATAACTCCCTGAAATACATAGTTAGAAGAGAATAAAATGACATAACTTGAGTCCTTTAAAAGGACAAACTATTTTTCCAAGGATAAAATATCCTTACAATTCAAGTGTTTCTAGTAGAAAGTTTTATGTTAAGTTCTACATATTAAACTAACATTATTTTATATGTTGAACATGAATTAATGTAGTCACATAACTAAGCTTTTGTTGAGAAAACAAGAGTAAGAAAAAGTGAACTTACACGTGTCCATTGGAATACCATGTATCCCAACCAATAGGTTGTACAATGGAGGACATGTAGGTATTGTAGAAGAGAACTCTAGAGTAATCTCTCCATGGCCTTCCCAAGTATATTGACCCAGTTCCAAACACCTTACAATCTTTGAAAACAAAACCATTTGAATCTTTTGGACTTGATCTCCCTTGAGCTGTTATATAACCAAGGAAACCTGGACCTAGTGCCCCATCAATAACAGATATGGCACAACTCTACAAAAACAAAATAAATAAATGAGTTATACTGTTAGAATATTAGATATGATATGATTAGATTTGATTAGATATGATTGGATTCTGTCTTATCCGTAAATAGTCTGACTGTATTCTGACTGTATTAAGATTAGGTTTGGATTAGGTTTAGGCCTTACACTTAAGCCCATTAGGGTCTCTATATATTGTAACTCCCTGACACAGATCAATACACAACGTATTCTCTTACATTTAACTTGGTACCAGAGCTATTTCGTTCTGGGAACCCTCGCTTCTGCTTAAAAATCTTGTTCTTCGCTTTAAAACCTAAGCCCACTGCTTAGGATTCATCTTTTCTTTGTCGTGCGTCCTTCCGGTAAGATATCAAAGGCTGTAAGTCCTCTCCAGGCATCTTCTGCACGTGTCCACATCCCCAAACAGTCACC